GTATTCCAGCAGATAAATAAAAAAGTCTAGAAACTGAAACCTGACAATGGTATTCCAGCAGATAAATAAAAAAGTCTAGAAACTGAAACCTGACAATGGTATTCCAGTAGATAAATAATACAGTCTAGAAACTGAAACTCGACAAAGGTATTTCAGCAGATAAATAAAACATTTCTGAAACCTGACAACGGTATTCCAGCAGATAAATAAAACAGTCTAGAAACTGAAACCTGAGAAAGATATTCCAGCAGATAAATAAAACAGTGTAGAAACAGAAACTTGACAAAGGTATTTCAGCAGATAAATAAAACAGACTAGAAACAGAAACTTGACAAAGGTATTTCAGTAGATAAATAAAACATTCCTGAAACCTGAGAACGGTATTCCAGCAGATAAATAAAACATTCCTGAAACCTGACAACGGTATTCCAGCAGATAAATAAAACAGTCTAGAAACTGAAACCTGAGAAAGGTATTCCAGCAGATAAATAAAACAGTCTAGAAACTGAAACCTGACAACTGTATTCCAGCAGATAAATAAAACACTCTTGAAACTGAAACCTGACAACTATATTCCAGCAGATAAAAAAACAGTCTTGAAACTGAAACCTGACAACAGTATTCCAGCAGATAAATAAAGTGAAACTTTGAAATGTTCGCTTATATAAATAGAAATGCTAAGTCAGCTGCAGTGGGAGATTGCCTGTGACTGGCAAGAAGTTTGCAATTTTCTCTTTTTGCACTGTATTACCAAGGATTTGTAGGCAACTTTATTAAGATAGCAACATCAATGTCTGACCTCAAAAAGTCGAGATAAAATATTGATAAAGGGAAGAATGTGACCAAGCATTTTAATTCATAAAGCTCTATTTAGTGGATGCTACAGTTCAAACGTATCAACGACAACACTGCAACTTTCTGATAAATATCACTGCTGGAGATAATGGAATCACAGTTCTCACAGCTGTAGAACAGAGTAGAAAATGTCGTAGCATATACTGTACAAACAAGGAATTACTTACAGTCTTTATAAAACAATATCACTATTACTTGTATTTTAGATAGATAATACTTTGTTGAATTGTCTAATGGACAATCCAGTTGGGATTATACCACATTGCATCCAACTATTAAAAAAATTTCTTTATCACAGTTCATCCCTCAAGTCATTAACACAGAAACAAGGACTGACTATCTTCCAACATGGTAAGATAGCAAAGACAAGCTATGGAGTTGGACATTCTAATTGTGGATGAATGTCAAAATTAAGATTTAAGGAACTCCTGGAAGAGAAACTGAAGGATACTGATCTATAGTGGTTGCCTTTTGCCATACAGCAGAAAGCTGACTTGAATGAATAGAGGAGCATAGAATGGTCACATATAATGTGTGGCATCAGGTAAATTTGCATTATACCATTGCCATAAACATTTTCTGATTGTGTTATGGCTGGTACCTAGATTTGTACAACAAGAAAATCCCCAGTATTTATAAATATTCCAGTGCACTAAAATATTACCTACATTTGTGGTGACAATTTTTGTGACCTTATTCAAGTTCAGATGTTCAGCTATGGCATAAATACTATATGGTATGTGCTACTTAGAGGAAGACCCCCATCAAAGCAGACTAAACTCCAACAAATAATTGTTTAGTCTCCTCTGCAGAAGATAGCCCTGGTGAAGTGTATGTCACTGCAAGAGGTTACCAGTACACACCCATACGTATTAGCTATTACAAAAATTAGATGACATACAGACCAGGGTGTTGATTTAAATAACCTAATGTTTGCTTAACTGTGTAAAGCATTAGTTATGATTAAGACTTGTACTTCACATTTTCACTCCCAGTCTGATGATTTTGCAAAATGAGTAAACACACTACAAAATGAATGTTTGCAAAGTATGTTAATTCTAAGAGGACCAGCTGGGATAAACACATCACACAAAGCAATGTAACTGGTATCTAACGGTTAATCAAAAAACATTGCAATGTTTTGCATAGGGAGTAAACTATTTCCATTTTGATGTGATCATCAGAAGACATCCTCACAATATTCACAGGAGTACATGAGGCCTTTGACGGCTCACATGCCTTTTCGTTAATTTTTTGATAAATAAAATCAGTCATTTTCTTCCTAAAAGGTTTATTTTAATAAGATGTTTTTGCTAAAAGATCTTATAGTATTTTATAATTTTATTCTATAATTTCTTATTCTCATTTTTGATTACAATTAAAAATTTATTATTGCACTTAATATATTGTTTAAGAGTAATGTATTTTTATGTTAGTAAAATTTTATTTTCAGTAATATTTTAACCTGTAAAGTTTCATTTTAAAGTTAACATGTTTTCAAAACTATTTTATTATGCATTCCATTATGTTCTAAAGTATAAATACGTGTTGTGCTCTTTTATTATATTGTATTAAAAATTAGCTATTGTTTTTAATTTGTAGTTAAGTATAGTGTTCTCCATGAGGAGTGCAAGAGTTCTTTGGAGGAAAGGGAAGTTAACATGATTTTCTGACCATGTCACAAGTTTAAAGATTATTGTTTTTATAGTTAAAATTAATCGTGAGCTTGAGAAATAGCCTGAAACAAAGGAGGAAGGAAAAGTACAATATGCTCTTACTAATATAAGAATTTATATATGTTTTTTGTTGGTCTATTTTAATGCAGTTTGGGCATAAACATGTAAATCATAAAACCATCAAATTTGCCTTTTATTGTCCTTTGTGCTTTTGTTCTTCATGATAAGTAATATCTACTATGCCCAAGGGGATATTACAGCATACTTTGATTTATTGTTAGAGAGGTAAATGACTGCAATGTCCTTTGCTGGCCCAGTGGATGATGTCTGTATGTTATAGCCAAAACAAAAGATGTGAGAGAATGACCAGTCATGTAATGCCACCTTCACAAGAGAACTTTAAAACTTTAGGAACTTTAAAAATTTCAGTAACTATTTTTTCTTCAGCTTCATTTCGTTTTCATTGTAACAAGTTAAGCAGACTGATCTTCAAACACAGAAAACTGATAATCTATTTATTATTCCAGTAGAAATAATTGTATAAGTGTCTGTGTATATACGTAGTTTTTCTTTTTGTTAGTAAATAAAGATTTTGTTCGTTTTTCACTAAACTGTCCAACTTAATTACTTTCTCACACAAGTATAAATCTCAATCAACTTTATGACACAGATTACTATTTAGGTTTCCTGTTTGATCCTATTAAATGATCCTCTAGCAATCATGCAGAAACCATCCTTAGATTAGAATACAAGAATACAATAGAATACAATATTTAAACAAGTAAAAAAAATTTTTTTTTTTTTTTACTAAAACCTAAACTATTAAGATGTAACTTTAATCTAGTATATGTACAGATGGTTAAAACCACAGAAAGGTAAAATGCTAGTCAGCAACACTTAGTCTGGTGGGCCAAATTTCCAACATTTTGTTTTTTGTTGTTTGCTAAGATTACAGTTTTGAACTATTCAAGAGTATGTTCACGGTGGGCTGCAGTTTTATAAAAACATTAACGTACAGTTACTTACACTAAATTCTTGGTTCCAACAAAATGAGTTAACACAACAATAAATCATTTAGGTAGATTTTCATCATACAGTAAACACCTGTCACTTTCACATCTTAAAGGGAGAGTATTACTGTTATGGGTATAACATTACTCAATATTGTAACATGTTTACAAAATGCCAATCCCACATTTCCAGTTCTCTATCCTTGTAACATGTTTATTTGTCATATTAGGTGAAAGAAAAACAAAATAATAATTTTATGGGAAACATTTCCAGGAGAGATGACTAGATAGATAGGAACTTTTAAATATTTTGTTACTAAACATTATTGTACTACAATGCACATGATTATCAAAAAACAATTTTTATCAAATCAAGTATCGATCAATTTTTTAGCTTCATACGTTATTTTTCCAAATATGCATAGTTTCCTCTTCTTATAGCGATTACTTCTCATTAGGCCTCCAGGTTATAGGCTAAGCACCTTGTTTATAACATACAGTTGCCTGATTTCAATATTGATTGCAAGTAACTATAGTTGATTTATATGTACCAAATGCTCTTACCAACAATTTTTACAGTTCTTCACACAATTTGGTTCATTAACATTCAATACAAGCTACCAAAATTCATATTAATAAAATGATAATTTTCATGTTAAAAAAATTAATAATATAAAGATTGTAAGGTATTCATTTCTCTGTTTTGCAGTTATATGTAGGTGTTGTTAAACTTTCAGATTTTAAGTTATAGTGATATAATTTTTATGAATTAGTTACCTTAGGTCAAAAGTTACTAATCTACTTGTCCAGCTCTAAGATACCTCCATGTGTATCTTCTCATGTCTTTTCAGGTTACCTTTACTTGCAAAATGTTTACCACATACAACACAAATCTGTGGTTTTTCCCCAGTGTGTATTTGCTCATGTGTTTTTAAATAACTTTTACTTACAAACTGTTTACCACATACTACACAAAAATATGGTTTTTCCCCAGCATGTATCTTCTCATGATTTGTTAGACCAGTTTTACTTGAAAATTCTTTACCACATACAACACAAATGTATGGCTTTTCACCAGTATGTATCTTCTCATGAGTAGTTAAGTAACTTTTACTTGCAAAATGTTTACCACAAACTAAACAACAGTGTGGTTTTTCCCCAGCATGTATCTTCTCATGAGTTGTTTGACCAGTTTTACTTGAAAATTCTTTGCCACATACAACACAACTATATGGTTTCTCCCCAGTGTGTATCTGCTCATGAATCTTTAACTTACTTTTACTTACAAATTGTTTAAAACATAATACACAACTGTAAGGCTTCTCCCCAGTATGTATCTTTTCATGACTCTTCAAGTTACTTTTACTTAAAAATTCTTTACCACATACAACACAATGGTTAGGCTTCTCCCCAGTATGTATCCTGTCATGTTTCTTCAGGTTACTTTTACTTACAAACTGTTTACCACATAGTACACAACTATATGGCTTCTCACCAGTGTGCGTCTTCTCGTGAATTTTTAGACCATTTTTAGTTAATCCTTTGCCACATATTGCACAATTGTATGGCTTCTCTCCAGTGTGTACATGCTCATGATGGTTTAAATTACTTTTATGTGCAAATCCTTTGCCACATATTGCACAAATGTATGGCTTATCTCCAGTGTGTATCTGCTCATGATACTCTAAGTTACTTTTATATGCAAATCCTTTACCACAAACTGAACAAATATAAGATTTCTCTACAGAGTGCAACTTCTCATGACTTCTTAGGAGACTTTCACTTATACATTTATTACCACATACTGTACAACTGTATGGCTTATCTCCAGTGTGTATCTGCTCATGATATTTTAAGTTACTTTTATATGCAAATCCTTTACCACATACCAAACAAATATAAGATTTCTTCACAGAGTGCAACTTCTCATGACTTCTTTGGTGACTTTCACTTGTAAATTTTTTACCACATATTATATAATTGTGTTTTTTATCCTCAGTATGTATCCTCTCATGTTCTCTTCGTTGATGTCCAATAAAGATTTCTTCATAAATCTTTGTGTCTAAAATCAAAATATGTTACATATAATAAATAAAACCATCTTTGTTCACTATTATTAGTTATCTTCCTTAGTTGTTTTAACAAAGACAACAAATTCTCACAAGTATTATCATTTTATTATTAAACCTAGGTATGCTCTGAAACAAAAACTGCTATCATAAAAAAAGAGCAAGTAGAAATGCCAAAGTGAAAATATTATTATAGAAAGTATACTAAATTTATTATGCAGATTGCCATATACATACACACACATTTGTTACACAAGTAATTATACTGCCTCTACAATTCTTATGTAGGTTACTCAACAGACATTATTATTTTCCTATGCTGAAAATATATTTTCAAAAGGTACTTACCTCTACTCACATGTATAGCTAGCTATTCTTGTTCAGTGCTGCCCTCTATATGGAAATTATTTTTTGCATGGCACAAGCCTTGGACTCCCATGTACCCCATGATAAACGTGGTTTACTGTCTCTGTAAATCATGATGTGACAACCTTCCACCAATAAGAATGGACACACCATCCCGATGCATGTGACTCCCTCTATTTGATTCTACCACACCATCGCTTTGAGATCAAGCAGAAAGAAAACATTGGTTTTAAATGGGGAGGAAGGAAGGGACGTGTGAGAAGAGGTGAGTATTTATCAGAAATATATTTTCGGTATAGGAAAATAATAACTTCCCATATGGTACCTAACATCCCCTCACATGTATAGCTAGAATCCCACATTGCAAGGGATACAAAGTTCTATCCTTGAAAGTATCTTAAGAACACCCATAGAGTTTGATACCCATTGAGAAAGGAACACATGTGGGAGACTGCACCACTTCTGTACCAGGTAGACTCAGTACCCAGTGTAGAAATAGGTGTTGCATACACGGAAGGAAAGTGGGGGGAGCACAAATAAAAAAGGGAGAGAAAAATCAGGTGGGTGCAAATTCAAAACACAATGTACCTGAATATCAATGACTGAAGAAGAACCATCCACAGACAAGAATGTAGGGAAAACGAAAATGGATGTGCCACAATGGCATGTCGGACCATACATGGCCAGTCAACTCCAGTCCAAAACCAAGCAACATCAGGAATAAAACATCTTATTCCTGGTAGGAGGAGAGTCCACACCATCTTCACCTCAAGTTGAATAGAACAAAAGCATATACCTTTCAAATCGAACTATGAAATGGGACACGTGTGAAAATCCACAACCATAAATATACATCCAGGAACACAACATCCAATTGACAGCAGAAGGGATGTGCCAATGTGGAGGTTCAAATCATACCAAACCCAACCTGACTGGAACCCAGAGGATAGGAACTGTAAAGTGGCAAAGACTCCCATACTCCAATAGAAGAGCAAGGGGGGACAAAACACTGTGGAGAGTCCAGAGGAATGTCAACACTGGAGACAGTGCAGCAAGTGACCATAAAACCCTATTACCTCTGATTTATTCAATCAAAGAAAAAGTAGGGATGGACAGCCATCTCCTTCCACTTTACCCATGTAAGTCCATGGGTTAGTATGATCCAGAATGAGCATATTTATGAAGGAAATGTATTGTGAGGAAACTTACTAGTGATGCTGTATAACACCCCGACTTGACAATGTGTGTTATTGGCCATGGGTATACATCTTGGCTCTACAGTGCAGAGTTGAGAAATAGGTAGCCTACCTGGACAGACAATGCTCACCACTGAGCAGGATCCAAAACTAAACAGGACATGCCACTAAAAGAAAAAGTAATATAGAAAAGATAACTTAACCCAGTCACAGCCTCACCGAAGTTTGAAGGATGACAACAGGCAGAAAACGATACCCCAACAAGGAAGAAACAGCCACCCAATGAAGATAGTGGGAGATGAATATATCAGATGTAGTCCACATGTCTGCCTGAAGAAGTTCCTCCAACAAATGATGGAGATGAGACACCAGGAAAAAGGTAAAGTACCTGAACTAATGCGACAATACCTGGAACAGATTTTCGAAAGAAAGAGACATGGAGGAATATGTAAGTCTAATCACTTGCTGAATCCAACTTGTAATGGTAGGAGGAGAAAAGCCACATACAGAGGATTATTGCCAGTGAATGAAAAGAAGGGAACAGGAACCAAGCATGAAAATCATTTGGGCAATGTAACAACAAGGAACACGAATGGGACATTGAAGAATATCTGGATCAGACTGGGAATAAAAGTGGGAAATGGATGGAAGTGAAATCAGGGAGAAGGAAGAATGTCCCTCATGAGCCATCTAGGTTTTGGGGAGGAAAGCTCGATCCAAATAAAGGAGAACATATGTGGAATGGAACAGTGTACATAAAACATCATTGGCAAAGATATCAGACCAATGATGCCCACAGGCTAAAAGGGATAGGTGAAACAAGAAACATGAAGCCAAAGGTTCAACTAGAGATAATGTAAAGCAGTGAAAAAACAATATTGACATTCCAATCTGGAATAACTGCCCAATGAGAAAGTCTAATGGATCCAGAAGGAACACAATAATAGGGAGATGGTAGGACAGGAAAATGCCAAACAGTACCAGGAAAAATGACAGATGTTGGATAAGGCTGCTTGATAACCACCTATGGAAGAGACAGAAGACCCGTGATCAAACAGCCAGGAGAGGAAATCTGTAAGAAAAAGAACTTTAAGGTGAGAAGGGAAAAAATCCCAACTCCAAGACCAATGGCAGAAGACATTCCATTTACAATAATAAACCTTAAGAGAGGAAGGGCAAATGGAACGTGCTAAAAGTGAAGCGACAAACCTAGACAATCCAGATTTTCTTGCCAGGGACCTGATAAATGCCAGGCATAAAGTTGGAGGGTATGAAGGATCGGTGACCAAGGTTGACGGAGTATGGATGGAGCGATAGGAAGAGGTAACATAGGGGTAGTTTGGAGCTGAATGAAACAAGAAAACCAAGGTTGTGCTGGCTAGTAAGGAGTGATCAGAAGGACTTGACACAGAGTCATATGGATGACTGAAATCACCCTAGGAAAAAGGATGGGAAGATAAACATAAAGATACCCATTGGTCAAGTCCTGGCTGAGAGTATCCACAACCAGGGCCAGAGGATGAAGAACTGGAGACCAAAAAAAAAAGGAGATAACATTGTGTTGAGGAAAGTAACAAATGCACCCTGATGAGGCATACCCCACTGATTGCATAGCCACTGGAAAACCTGGGGGTCAAGAAACCACTCCATGTGATAAACCTTGTCTGGCCTGGAAAGGGGATCTGCTACAAAAGTTGAAAGCACCTGGAACATGACATGCAAGGAGACATATCCCCAACATGTTGGCCCAGTAAATGAGTCCTAATGTTTAGCCACAAAGAGAACAGGTGCTCCTTTAGTGATTGATATAAGTTAATACTGTAGAATTGTCGAAGCAGATCATGATGAGTCAGTTCCATACAATAGGAAGAAAATTATTCAAAGCATGTCCTACCACCAGAAGCTCTAAGATGTTGATATGAGAAGACCTCTCAGATAGAGACCATTGACAATAAGCCTCCTGCCAATTGATCCATGCTCCCAACCGTGAAGTGAAGCATCTGTGAATAGATACAAATCCAGATGAGGTGGAGGAAGCAGTACACCCACGATAGTGTTGTCCTTGTTTAACCATCAATGCAGATTGTTTAAAAGGGAAGGAGAATGGGCATTTAGAAGTCCATGAGATCCCGAACAAGATTCCATGGGTCGTGGAGAAAATGCATATATGCCTGATTCAAGTGGATAAGTGCTTCCATAGAAGCCCAAGTCCCCAAAATTGATAAAACCTCACAAGCAGAAAGAGAGGGAGCAGCATGGGCATGGAGAACTAAAATCTCCATTGAACATAGACAAAGTGGAGAAGGTACGGCTTGAATGAGGTGGGTGTTGAAAAATACACTCAAGTGGATAAGATATTGAGTAGGTAAGAGGATAGACTTCTCCAACCCACATGAGTTGCTTCTGAAAGTAGCAGATGTTTGTGTCATGAAGACTCAAGTTCATAATGAGTTAACAGAGGCCAGTCATCCATGTAGTGGTGTAAACACAACCCACGAGCATGCAGAAGTTGGACAAAGGCTTTTATCACTCTACGAAAAGCAATATGGTGCTAAAGCAAGCTTCTATAGTAAGGTGTGTAAATGGTAAACAACCCTGGGATGAACAAACTGAAGAAAGCATCTGGACTAAAAAGAAATAGGAATATGGAGATAAGCAGCTTAGATGTCTATCTTGGTCATCCACATTCCTGGAGAAAAAGCTACCATAGTATGGGAAAGGATTCCATGGTAAAGTTGGGAAGATCCAAAAAATGGTTGAAGCAGGACAGATCAATAACAGGACACCAGTCCCTGGCTTTCCTGGCAACCACAAAAAGCCTGGAGTAAAAAATTGGGGAATGTTGGCCAACAGGCTTTATAGTTCTCTGTGATAGAAGTCAATTGACACTAACTAGTAGCAAGATCCTGATGTAATTGGAAGCTTATCAGTGCAGGAGGCAACAGGGGCAGGGAAAGGAAACGGATGAAAAATCCTTCTGAAAAACTTGGACCACCCAAGGATCAGTAGTGAATTATTTTCATAGTGGAACAAAATTGGCCAAACCAGGGTTCACACTTGACATCAATGAAAATTTTCAAGCACTTTTCATGTACTTTTCCATAGCCTACAATCTCAATTTCAAAAATTCATGCTCAAAGATATTGCTATAAAATAATTAAAGAACATTTACACTCAGCAAGGATTACCTTTACAGTGAACCACTAAAAGACTCGCTTACATACCTTACAAAAGGCCTTGTGTTTGTTAGGTCTATAACACTCATACCACTGACAGTAGGGGCCATTACTATCCAAGCATTGCTGAAAATGCATTTTCCCATCTTCAACTTCAGACATCCTTACACACTGCATGCTTATCTGCCATTGTTGTTTAGCACCATGTGCATGTGTGTAACTACTCATAATAAAATGTAGAATGGCACATCAAAC